TCAGATAAAATCAAACTGAGCATTATTGAGTCTGGTGTTGGACCTGTGTCGGAACATGATGTAAAAATGGCTCAGTCCTTTAAAGGTACATGTATGGGTTAAATAAGTATATATTATTTCACGGCCAGGAGGTCCGGACAGGGAAAAACTGTGCCCGAGGTTTTCAAGACCGAGTGCACAATTTTTCCTTATCCGGACCGACTATAGGACGGTAAATATCTTATTTATTTTTTTCCCGTATTTTTTTTTTTACTTGTTTCTGTAATCGTTTTGTGTTGTCGTTTAGCGGCAAAGGATACCGGACCGCGCGCGCGGGCAGATACTGACAAAATACCGCCCGCTCAAACAGCCAATCAGAACGCACAATTTTTCAGGATACCGGACCGGAAAAAAATAATATGTGGTATGTTCGAAAACTTAGAGCAAATGTGAGATATAAAATCGTCTTATTCAGGAAGGGTTAAAAGCTAAAATATTCAGATTTAAAAGTTTGATGTGGGAGATCATCTTTTGGGCGAAACCCTTAGTTACCGTTGCTATGTCCCACAAGATTAACAAATAATCTCGAATACATCAGAATTAAAACTCTGATCGTGGAAAATTGATTATATATTGTTGTATAATAGTTTACTGTCCTACGAAAAGAATAACAAGTATCTTGATTACCAATAATAATAACATATATATGTATATACTGTATACCGTATATACAGTATACCGTCAATGTCATTAACGTTGTCCACCGAAAAAAGACATTTACACATTTAGACATTTACACATTTAGACTAAAAGAAATATCACGTGTTTCCTCGAAGGTTCTGGCATAAAACAAATGCTGAAATACCAATCTGGATTTTCGATTCACGAGATTGTAGCACGGACCCTGTATCAGGCATGCTGAGCATAAGATATTTGTACCCAAGCCAGAACGTAATGCACCACGTTCGCTTTCTTAAAAAAGTGTCTTGGCATTGTTTTTTTTTTACCCCAGTCTCTTACCTATCCTAGACTCATGGGCCACGCCTTCAACACTTGGTCGAAGGATTTAGGGTCATTTATTTCGGCCAGTGTTATGATTGCTTATGCTAGGCTGTCTAGGTTTGTGCCCTTTGGAGGGAATCATTTAAGAGCATTAGTGGTGAAGAAAATCTAGAGAATAGACCAATAGACCTAACTTGAACAGAATGCAATTTGTTTATTGAAGTTAAAATCAAGGCCAAATAAATTATTATTATTATTTTATTTATCTTCTAGGTGTGGTGCTTGGATTCAATGTCAAGATCTCAAAGGAAATACAGCAGTTTGCAAAACAAGTGAACGTTCCAATCAAGAACCATAGAGTTATTTACAAATTATTAACAGATCTCAAGGTAAGCTTACCGTCATGTAATAAAAGGTTCCAGGATTGAGTCTTGGACACCCTGGTTATAAGCCTAGCTTCGATTGTTTATATGTTAAAAGGTCCTAGGATTGAGCCTTGCGGCAACCCGGTTATCAGCCTAGTCTCGATTGTTTATATGTTAAAAAGTCCTAGGATTGAGCCTTACGGCAACCCGGTTATTAGCCTAGTTTCGATTGTTTATATGTTAAAAGGTCCTAGGATTGAGCCTTGCGGCAACCCAGTTGTCAGCCTAGTTTAGATTGTTTATGGGATAAAAGGTCCTAGGATTGAGCCTTGCGGCAACCCAGTTATCAGCCTAGTTTCGATTATTTATATGACAAAATGTTCTAGGATTGAGCCTTGGGGCAACCTGGTTATAAGCCTGCTTATCAGCCTAGATTCGATTATTTATATGATAAAAGGTCCTAGGATTGAGCCTT